TAACTCGGTCCCTCATCACACCCACCGTCCTCTCCATACCAGTCCAACCAATTATCTGCACTCATGACCGCTCTTTTGATGACATCTAGTCTTTTGGTGTCGTTTACAGTGAGAAGACTAGTCATCAGTATATTAGTATTGATCCAAATGTTCCAATTGTTCACTTTCTGTCCCTCAAAACCCATCCAATTCTTGAAGTCATTGTTCATAAATGTGTCGACAATACGTCTGTCCAACTCATAGTCCATACGCTTTACAAACATTGGCGAGAGTTTTGTGAGTTTATCGCCTAAATTCATAGTAAATATTAATTATCAACATTCATTTATATTTTAAACCAATTAAGTTTTACCAAGAAGCAATCTAATCCAGGCCACGTAGGCTGATGACTCGCCAGCACCGAGATCTATGACCCACTGTGAGGGGTCGGGCATACCTTCACCGGCCTTTTGCATGTACAGGTGTGCGGGCCAGGTCCAGGTGCTCTCCTCCAGTATAAGCCACAAACCATTTGCTATTTGCTCGACATATGTCTTGTTGTCGGTTAACAACTCTCCCAAAACCAAATCCATTAATTTCTCTCTTCGTTTAAAATCTTTATCTTCGTAATGATTACGATTGCCATGAATTTTGTACTCCAAGAATTCCATCGCCAACAGTGGTTCCCATACAGTCTTTGACACATTATTTGCTCTTTCAATGAATATTTTCTTTACACTTTCGGGTAGTTTTTGGAGATTTTGATTAAAATCTTGTATTAATTTATTTCTCCAGTCGATTATATCGTCTAAACTTTTGGTTTTGTCTTTGAATTCTTTATACAAGAAGTCTCTGTCATGTCTTTTCTCTGAACTCACATAAAATATTAATATAGTGAGTGTTAACGAAATCTGTATTAAGCCTTTCATTATCAATTCAGATATTTTAAATACAACGGATTTAATATTTCCTTATTTAACTTATAATTTTGAAATTTAATTTTATATATACTGATAGAGTTCCTGTTTAGGGTTTGACATTGAGTTTAATGTGAAGTTAAAAGCTGTTTAAATAAATATCAAAATTATCAATTATTATTAACAATAATAGTTTAAATTAAACACCATGTCAAGGGATTACAAATTGTCAATATAATTTGGTGAAATTAACAAAATAAAATAAGCTTATTATGATATATAAGTATGTAAAAAT